AATCTCAAGTATCTTGTTCTCTTTAATAGCAGATAGCAAACAGGCATCCAAGTAACAGGAAGAAAGGAAAGAATAATACCAATAAAATAAGGTTCCTATGTACATGGACAACAGTGTGGTCACTGCAGGGGAGATGGGGAGTATAAGGGGACTAAATGGTAATGAAAAAATATACAATAAAAAAAACCCCAAAATAATAATAAAATAAAAAGTAAAGTTCCTAGCCCTGGCTGGTGTAGCTCAGTGGATTGAGCAAGGGCCTGTGAAGCAAAAGCGTGCAGGTTCGATTCCCAGTCAGGGAACATGCCTGGGTTGGGGGCCAGGTCCCCAGTGGGGACACATGAGAGGCAACCACACACTGATGTTTCTTTCCTTCTCTTTCTCCTTCCTTTCCCTTCTCTCTAAAAATAAATATAAATAAAATCTTTTTTAAAAAGTAAAGTTGCTGTAGCCTGAGTCACAGTTCATCTCTGTGGAATGAAAGGTAAGCTAAAGATCAATAACTGCTGTGAAAAGTCCGACTGTTTTCAACCACTTAGTTGGTTAGATGGAACGGAGCACGCCACTGTCAGCCTTGGGAAGGCTGTGACCAAAGCGAGCTGCTCTCTGCACCGGATGCGTGACAGGGTGAGTGAGGGGGCTCAGGTCTGCAACCTGCTGAAAGGGTCGCAGATGTTTTTCAGGAAATACCCAATCAAATAATAAGTCTATTAATTAGGGGCGTTAGAGGAATATCCTTTTTGAAAAACAAGATAGACTACACAAAGAATCACTGAATCTCCAAATCCAATGTACTTACAAAATATTTAGTTTGGTGATTTACCCTCAGTTACAGTGTTAAGTACACGGAAGACTTGGAGCTTGTGGGTAGATGCCCCGACATTCAGGCCAGTATTGTTTGCTCTGTGCTGCCTCTTGAATGGACACTAAATGAATAGACAAAGTAATAACACTTTCCACTGCTCTTAAATTGTAACTTATCAGTATATCTATTCTGCATTACTGGAGGAAGTAAAAGTAAACATTTCTTAAGGGACGAATAAAGTGAACACTTACAACATTACATGTGCACAGAGAAAAAGAAATGGTTACTAAATATGAAATAATATTTAACTTTGGTTGTAATAAAAGAATGTAAATTTAAATCAGATACCATTTTGGTCTACTAAATTGGCACATATTACAAAAACACCCACACATTGGTGCAACTTTCCAGTAGAGAAACTTGGTACAATGTATCAGAAATACTAAAAAACAGATGTACCATAGGATCCGAGAAATATAATTCTAGAAAAGTTACCTGAGGATATATTTGGAGATTTGCAGTACCGTATTTTTTGGACTATAAGACACACTCCCCCCTCCAATTTGGGAGGAAAGGGGGTGTGTCCTATAGTCTGAATGTAGTTTACCTGGCTCCCTGGGGAAGGGGGGGGCTATGTCATTTATGTTATTAAATATTTTACCATATTTTTTGCTTCAAAAATTTTTTCCTATTTTTCTCCTCCAAAACCTAGATGCATCTTATGGTCCAGTGCGTCTTACAGTCTTAAAACTTTGGTAAATATTGTATATCTTCTGCACACTTTTTAATAATTTTGTATTTATGCCCAGGGAAAAATGATCACAATAAATTTTTTAGGCATAGAGTGATATTACAAAATGCCGTTGAGATCAGGGGAAACTACTTGCATATAAAAGTTTAGGATTATATATTTCAGCTGTTATCAACACCACTATGTCTGCATAGACCTAGTTCTTTAGGACTAAGGTAGTTTGCCTGAAAAAATTATTTAGTAAGAGAATATATGGCTATTTAGAACAAGACATTTAAGTATAAAATGATGACCTTGAATATTCAATGGCTGTACTTGGGAGGAAGTATACAAGTCTAGAGGGAAAGTGAGGGATGAAGAAGAAAATATACTGGGGAAGACAAAGAATGTATTTTCAGACAGGTAAGATACTGAGCTGGCAAGTTCCATCCCTAGGACAGAACTGGTTAGATAAGTAACTCAAATTATGATTAGGCAGATGTTTTATAAGTATCTGCTAACTGGTATATATTATTAAAATTACTTTAGCAAATACTGTGTTCAAATTGAATCTAGCTTGTCTGGATTATTAAACCTTTTCTTGGGCTTTATTTTTCTAGCCCATAAATTTTTACAGGTATCTCTAAAGTGTTTTTATTCCTCTACCTTTATTTAGAGAAATATACAAAATGTTAACTAGATTACAGAATTACCAGGAAAAAAAATCCTTTTTTTAATCAACTGGATTTGCAGGTTTTCTATAAAAAGTAGGAGTTATTTCAAGCAGCACAATTTACAATAGCCAAGTGCTAGAAGCAACCTAGGTGCCCATCAGTAAATGGATCAAAAAACTATGGTACATTTACACAGTGGAATTCTATGCAGCAGAAGGAAAGAAGAAGCTCCTACCCTTTGCGACAGCATGGATGGAACTGGAAAGCATTATGCTGAGTGAAATAAGCCAGGCGGGTTAAAGACAAACACCATATGACCTCACTTTTAACAGGAACCTAATCAACAAAACAAACAAACAAGCAAAATATTACCAAAGACACTGAAATTGAAAACAGGCTGACAGTGACCAGAGGGGAAAAGGGAGGGAATTTCAGGAGAAAAGAGGAAGGGTTTAAAGGAACAAGTATAAAGGACACATGGACAAAAACAAGGGTGGGGGGGGGACAGGAGGGAGGTGGGGAGGGTTGGGGGGGTAGACTGGGATGGGGGTAAAAGTCAGAACACTGTATTTGAACAACAATTAAAATAAAACAAAAGTTTTTTAAAAGTATGAGTTATTTCAAAATAAATTCTCCTTCTTAAACTTAGCTCTGTAATCAAACATACCATTTGAAAAAGGTGCACCTGATGTAACTTTCCTATTCACTGTGAACTATTCTTTCCACTGTTTTAAGATCCCCTTTGCATTTTTTTCCCCAGTAACGTAAAAGTAATTTCTGGCAGACAAGTCCTATTTCAGGCCATTTTATTGATGCAGAAAAGAACATTATCTAGTGTCCTTAACAAGAACGTGGTCTCTAATAACAATGAATATTAATCCAGTACTTCCAGAAGGGAAAGAGTAATAGTTTATAATGAAACTAGCAGAAACCAACTGTATACTGAATATTTTCCTATATACCAAAGGCATTCATTGCTGTATATAAGTGGCAGTACTTCCTTATTTATTACCATGTCTATATAAAACTTTAAGTTCTCAAAAATACTTAACACCCCCTTGGGGGTTTTTTAAATTGTTTTTTCCTATGAAGGTTCAAGTACTTATACAGTTTTTGAATGTGACTTGCAAATCACAGAGGGAAGAGAGAAGGGAGAAGTGGGAGGAGAGAGAGAAAGAGTGAAACCAGTTTAAATATATTAAAATTTTTATGTACTGTGGTGGAATAAGTACTGTAAGGCAAGTGACCTGATTCAAATCCTGGTTCTGCTGATAACCAGCTATATGACTTCCTCCAAGTCACTTAATCATGTTTCTTACATTGTAAAGAAAGTGATTTTGATTTAAATTTGGCTTTTAAGCCCTGAACTGGTGTGGTTCAGTGGATGGAGCGCAGGCCTGTGAAGCAAAGGGTCACTGGTTCGATTCCCAGTCAGGGCACATGCCTGGGCTGCAGGCCAGGTCCCCAGTAGGAGACACATGAGAGGCAACCACACATTGATGTTTCTCTCCCATTCTTCTTCCCTTCCCCTCTCTCTAAAAAAAATAAGTAAAATATTTTAAAAAATAAAATAAATTTGGCTTTTAAAAATCTACAATTAAAGTTTATTCAAACACTGTATTATAATAACAGCTCGATTAAAGGTATGTCATTTTTTTTCTATATGGAGTTAGTTCTTCGCTTTTGTCGCATCTTGACCTGCAGCCTGGATTACTTAGGTTGCATATTCAAGATACAGTTTGGAGAAAAAGGTAGCGGGGAAAGATTCTTTCATAAGATGAAATGGAGCTGAGCAGGTGAGGAAGTTAAGGAATGAGTGCACATGTATGCAAAAAATGCGATTATTCTCAAATCAGGAGCACTGAAGAAGAACTCTGCTTAAATTTGGGGGAGGGCGAGGTAACAAAAATTGAGGTGGGCCCTTAAACCGAGACGTTCAGGTATTAACAGACTCCACCTTTATACCTTCAGTGGACACCAAACCAGTCCCCAGTTCCGGGTTCCCAACCAATCATAACAAGCCACAACAGAGGGATCTGCCAAACCGGGCACCGTTTCAGGACTCCAGAGTGAGATTTCACGACCCCAGCACCTGTCGGTCTCACACAGTTTCCAAAAGGAGGTGATGAAAGAGAACAGTAGTAGGTCTATCCCCAGTCCTTTTCGATTCAGGCTACGACCAGGTCCAGGAGCCCTTGAGACCGCAACTACATCTATACTCCAGGGACAGGGGGAGCGCCTCGCTGTGACCCTCCCACATATCCTTTCTCCAGGGCCAATTCTCCTATTTAAAGGTCCCAAGCTCCAATCGTGGTTTCTCAGGCCTCGAGAACCCCGGGCCTGGAAAGGGGACAGAGGGATGCCGAGAGTGAAGGCAGAGGGGGAGGGTGCACTCCTCACCACCGGAGAAAAAGATAAAGCTGTGTTCCCCCTCGGCGACGGCGGGAGGCCGTCCCTGCGTCTGTCCAAGACTCTGTCATTCCTTCACTCACTCACCAGGAGCAGCAGGGAGCATCTCAGGTCGGGTAAGGATAGGAAGACGACAGGATTCATGATAACGCTGGGATCCTCGGCAGGGACAGGCGTTGGCTGCTGGGACTGGGTAGGGCTGGACTGGGTTAGGAAAGGGCTGGGCTCCGGGAGCCGGCGGCAGCGGAGGATTCTCCCGGCAGCTACACCCCGTCCTCTCGACCCGGAGCTCCAGTGGCGAACACCCCGGACAACTTCCAGAGAGGCCTCTCAACCCTCACTTCCGGGTCCTGCCCACCTCGGCGCACATTGGGAAATGTAGTCCTGCATCCTCCTAACTGAGCCCGTCATCGGGCACCCAAAACTCCTTTCCCATCAGGCTTTCGGCCCACGTCCACCGAGTTCTCTGCACGCGAGGCCCAGCGGGATAAAAAAAGCAAAGAACGGGTGTACCCCTGAATTTTGGAGGAATAGAAACTACAATTCCCAGAGGGCTGTGCGGTCCAGAGTCACCCGAGGCCCTCCGAGGGGCTCAGTTAGTTTCAGCGCTTTGGGGTCTGCCCCAGCCGGATGTAGTGTACTGCCCTGGCGGGATGGGCGGCCCAGTGGGGGTCGTGCCTCCTGGAGCCGCCCCTAGGACGTGAGTCCTGGAGGAGGCAAGGGTGAGTAGGAGGGTTCCTGGCTGGGGAAGCTCCAATCGATCTGCACTGGCTTGGCCCCTGCCTCAGACTCCAGGGCTTCTGGCCTGAGCTGTGGTCTGAGTCTCTTTCGTTGGTCTCCCCGCCTGCTGCCTTTTCTTTCTGCGGTAATTCCTGCATTATGAAGCCGGAGCCCCTTCTCAGGGTCCCGTGTGAATAAGTAAATGACTTATCCCTAATTGTCTCTGTGGGCTCGTATAAGGAGTACATGTAGGATAGGATGGGAAAGCACGTTGTAAACTGAAAAGCTCGAGTGCGAAAGTGATTGCCGGTAATGCACGGATCGCTTCCCACCAGACAGTTAAGGAATTCTCCAGCCAGGCTGTTGAGGCTCAGTTATCTCTCCAGGCCCAACTACAAACACCCAGCCGGGTCATTTGCCCCAAATGGAAGCCAAACAATTCCCACTAAGTACCAGGGAGGCAGTCTGCGTTTTTGTGGTTCTCCCTAAGCCTTGCCTTTGCCCCAGCTTTCCTGCTACTTGAAATGTCCTTAACCCCTTCTCTATCTGGAATTTCATCTTAAATAATAGTATCTGAGAACTTCCCAAGCAACCAGCCCTTTCGTCCGAATCAGAATTACTCTTCCTAGATCGTGACTGACTACAGCACCACTAGTTTTGTACAGTTATAATTATTACACCATTTATTGCACTGGCCTGTTTTATAGTTAGTAATGATGATGAGACCTTTGCATTTTATAGTATTTTATAATTAACAAAGTGGGATCTCCCAGTATTATTACAAAAAAAAACAATAGTGCTAAAAAATACATTTGATCAAAAAGAAAAGAAAGAAAACTAGGAATCACTTTCCCAGCCGACAAAACCAAGAACTTTTAGTTAGGTTTCCGGTCTCCTAGTCCAGTTCTCTAACCGATATACCACTGATCTGTCTCTGTAACAGAGGAGACAGAAATGGGGAGTTTAAAGAGAACAGGTACTCATGAGTATAAAGTCATTACCTTAAGAGATTAAACTTTGATCCTGTTCATGCTCTGGACTTAGCACCCAGACTGACTTTTCACTTCGAAAACATCTACTGAACACCAGCTATGTATCTGTTGATGAAATATAAATAAATACTTGTGAGATTAATTTTTAGTGTATTTTCAAAGAGTATGAAGAATTTGGGGAGGGTGATTCGGGCCTCCAACTCTGATCACTGAGAATCTAAAATGATACGTATCAGAGTTCAGAATAATACCTAGCACATAGCTGGTACTTGTTGAATGAATCAGCAAGGTCTACCTTTTCCATTTTCGTATTTTACAGAAAGTTGGAGAACTGAGGTAGCCAAAGGGCACACTGCTTGTTATCAATGGAACAGGGCCCCAGTGCAATTATTCATCTACAGTGTTTCTACCTCCACCCCTGTTTTGTAGCTTCTTTCAAGTCACTTCAGTATAAGCCTGCATATGACAGTGAATTTTCTTGTATGACAGACATGATTAGACATGACAGAAGTGTCTCACAATGCCTGTGTAAAAGAAGACATGAAGTGCTGACCTTTACCAAAATTAAGAAAACACTTTCACTGTAAGGCAGAATTGGAACCAGACATGTTTCTCAGTGACAACACAAGTGCTAGCTCATCAGCAGTGATAAATTTATCTTACTAAACTCCCAGATTCTCAGGAGTCACAGAGATTGGAGTAACGCTTCTTGGTAAAATCAGAAGAGGACTTTATCTTTCCAACAGCTATTCATGCACTGTAGCTGATCAACAGCTGCTCTCTTTAAATAGCCGTATGTGCTCCAGTTTGCCATGATCCCCACGATTCTCTGTGTTTCTTACACTTTTTAAACTCACTGCTCCTTGTAGACATTCAACTTTGTTAGAACATCTTATGTTCAGGAAGGAAGTTTAAGTTCATTGCTGCAACTACTCCTCTTCCCATCAGGTACTTGAATTTTTGTTGCATTTCTAATGTAATCCAGTCTCTGCTTAAGCACTCACTATTTTCCTATGCATAGAATGCATTTCTAGACAGTTCTAGCAAACATATCCGATGACCAATCAGAACAAAACTTTTTAAAATGAAATCTGGTGAATCCCAATGGTGTGGTGCTCCAAGTAAGATCCTAAGGTCAGGATCTCAAGCAAGGTGTATTGCCCTGGTAAACACAAGGAGACAGCACATAAAAATTCTGCCTTTTCTCTTCATGAAAGAAAGAACTAAGTGCTTTTGTTCCCCATCACTTTGAATACTTATCACCAGTCCCTTCTTGCCTGTAAAGTTTCTTTTGAGAATTCAGCTGATAGTCTTATGGGGACTCCTTTGTAAGTAACTCTCTGCTTTTTTCTTGCTGCTTTAAAAAAAAAGATTTTATTTATTTATATTTGGAAAAAGGGAGGGAGACGGTGAAAAACAGCAATTTGTGGTTGCCTCTCATGCACCACCAACTGGGGACCTGGCCTGCAACCCAGGTGTATCCCCTGACTAGGAATCAAACCAGCAACCAGCCACCCTTTGGTTTGCAGGCTGGTGCTCAATCCACTGAACCACACCAACCAGGGCAGATCTGCCTTAACAATGAGTTGACATCATACTTATTTTGTGGCTTGGTCATTACTTTTTTTTTCAATTCATTCATTTATTTTTTAGAGAGAAAGAGAAACATTTGTGTGTGGTTGCCTCTCATGCACCCCCAACTGAGGACCTGGCCCACAACCCAGGCATGTGCCCTGACCAGGAACCAGCAAACCTTTGGTTTGCAGGCTGGCACTCAATCCACTGAGCCACACCAGCCAGGTCAATTACTTTTATTCTCAATATCAGTTCTAATGTTTAGTATCATGTGGAATCAAATTACTTGTATTAACTTAAGAAATCAAATGTGGGTTTTGGGCCCTGTGCCCAATGTTAAATATCAAGTCTACCCCCATTTTTCCCCTCGATAGCCCCTGGGAAGGGTCTTGGGAGCATCTGACCCCTTCATTTTAAAGATGAGCAACTTATACAAAGGATCACCTAATTTGCCACATGATGGTAATTCTAAGATCAGGGCTGCAGATTTTTTTAATCCTAGTCACATATTCTAGTAAACTGTATTTATAACATACTCAATTACAACAGATGAGACCGGTTTCAGAAGTATTTCCTGTGTGTGCTCATGCCTTAAATCATTGTTTCAGGTTGCTTCAGTTGTTGTGAAGACTATGAACAGGTCAGAGAACTTGTTTTTTACTGGCTCCTCATTAGCATCCCAGGTTCATGCTGCTGCTATTAATGGAGATAAGAGTGCTCTTCACAGGCTCATCATAGGTAAGCAGTCCCTGTAACTACAGAACCTTTAAAGATAACTCTTTGTCCTAAGGAAGTTCATTAAACTTAGTTTTAATTTGCATTGTACTATACATTTTAGTTGAAATACATTAATTATTATTTGCATTTTGTCCCAAAACTTGAACAAGAAATAAAGTAAGTCCTGAGACTTTAAAATATGGATTAGAATTAGGGGGAAAGTACTCGAAAAATAACTGTGTATTTGGCATTGAATCTGGATATGTACACTAAGGTGCTAATTCATCTTTGTAATAACAGAGCTAGAATGAGATAGTAAATAATGATCTTTAACATTTAATATATACCAAAAGTATTAACATTTACAAACAATTTAAATTATAGTGATTTAAAATTGATTCAGTGTTCCCCCAGTCATTGATTCAGTGCCCTGCGTAGCACACGTAGAGAGGTAGGTCCAAAACAGGAGTTCTGGACAGAAAACCAGGTGAATAGGAGAGGCAGTATTAAAGGACCAGATGAGTGGGAATTTTTCAGAATTATAAAACCCACAAATTCACCTGTTCATAAATCATTAGTCTTATGACTAATTAATTAATCAGTCTTCCTAAATACAATTAAAATGTATATTATTTGTGATCATTTTACACATCATGATTGACAGCTTGAGTTTTTAAAATATCCATACCACTTGAACTTCATTCCTGTTCTTCCAGACTTTCTCTGTGCCCTACCTTTCCAGTTTCTCCAGGAACTTCTGCCCAGGTGCTCTAATCTCTGGCTAGGCTTTCTGTTCCCCAGTATGCCATGAATTTTGTCTTACTTTTCTCTATGCATGTTTCCTTTCCTCTTTTCTACCTTCTCTCACCTTACCTTCTTCTCTAGTAAATAAGCTTCTACTTATCTTTCAAGATGATTTTTTTTACCACATACTGTGAAGATTTCTTTTTTCTCTTAGGAATGTTACCACCTGATAGCTCGTCCTCCTACATTCACAGTTACTCTTTGGAACTTGACATCTTCACTACCTTCGAATCATTTATTAAAACATTCCGCCATTCAGCTCAGTAATGAGAACAATAGTCTTTCTCCCTTTTTTTAGGGTTTTCACATTTGTTTTTTTTTTTCTCTTACCATTCAGTTCCCTTATACTCCCCCCACCCGCAGCAGTCACCATACTGGTCTCCATGGCCATGAATCCTTTCTCCTTTTTGCTCCATCCTTCCACCTCCTGCCCTCCCCGACCCCTTAGCTCTCATCCTGCTCCCCACAAGTCTGTCTCTATTTTGCTTGTTAGTTCAGTCTGTTCATTAGATTCCCCATGAGAGTGAAATCATGTGGTATGTGTCTTTCTCTGTGTCTTTATGCTGAGTGCCTTACTTCACTCGGCATAGCGTTCTCCAGACCCATCCATGCTGTGCCAATGGGTAAATTTTCTTCCTTTTTACAGTTGAGTTCTATTCCATTATGCAAATGCCCTGTTGTTGTATCCACTCATCTACTGATGCACACTTGGGCTGCTTCCCTATGGTGGCGATTGTAATTATCGCTGCAATGAACATAGGCGTGCTTACGTTCTTCCAAATCAGCATTTTGGGTTCCTTCAGATATACTCTCATGTTCCCAGAAGAGGGATCTCTGGGTCAAAAGGCAGATTCATTTTTAATTTTTTGAGGTATCTCCATACTGCTTTCTACAGTGGCTGCACCAAGCTGTATTCCCACCAACAGTGCAGAAGGGTTCCCCTTTCCCCGCATCCTCGCCAGCACATGTTGCTTGTTGATTTATTGATGATGGCCATTCTGATGGGTGTAAGATACGTCACTGTGGTTTTAATTTGCATTTCTCTGATGAATAGAAAACAGTAGTTTTTCAAGGTCCCTGAGACTTCCACAGTCTATTACCTTTCCCAGTTTCAACTTTCAGTCTTCTGCTGTCCTTATCTTCCCCCATATATAGCCCTGATTCCATGGTCTATTATTAAAATCCTTCTCTTGGAAAAATTATCTTTTCTCCTCACCTTCTGTTGCATCTGGCTGTTGCAATCCCAGCTCTGGGTGGACCTAAATCATCTACCTCTGCCAAGCCCTGAGCAAGCCCCATCCTTCCTGGATGGTTGGGAACACCCTATACATTCATGATTACTCACCTCAAATAGTCACCCAACACTTTCTGCGTGTAACACCACATTGGTCTTAATGAGAGTCTCATACCTTCTCAGTCCACCAAACCTCAGACTGCCAGTTCTCCCTCCCTCATGCTCACCTCATGCTTTGTGCTTCCACAGAAAACAAAGACCTTAAGTAGGAACTCCCTCACCTTTCAGCAAGGTGTTTACAAATCAACCTATGTCTGCTGGCCTTTCCTTCTCTCTTCCTGCTAAAACAGAGCATCTTTCTGTCAAAGGTCCATTCTTCCACACATGCTGTGTGTTCTCTTCCTTCCCATCTTCTCAGGGATCTTGCCCCTTTTTAAAAAAATCTGATTACTGTATTTTCAACCTTTTCTTCTACTCTAATTCTTACTGTCAACATTTAAACATGTTCTCTTGTCTCCATTATTTAGAAATCCCTTCTCTGTTCCTTCATTCCCCCTCTAGGTATTGCTGTATCTCTCAACTTTCCTTCCTAACTATATCAGTGCACAGACTAAACTGCTATAACAGTGACTTAAATATATTTAAGCATATTAAGTGACTTAAGTGTATTTCATTCTCGTATGGTGCAAAGGTAATTGGGCAGTGTAGGGTGGTACACATTTACGCTTCACAAAATCATCCCAGGACACTGTTAGGGCTTGTCCCTGCCATTCTCAACATGTGGCCTCCACCTCTGGGTCAAGAGCAGCTCCATTGTAATAACAGCCCAGTCATGCAGGACGTAGACTGGATTTAGACACAGAGGCATACTTAGGACGAAAAGGTCAAAAGAAAAGTCCTTCCCTGGATGGCATCATACCAAACCTCAGGGTGCTCAATTTGTGAAAATACAAATCAGAACAGATACGGGGGCAACTGTCACTCCCTCCCCAAACCAGGCTTCTTGAGCTGTCTGTAACTGTTGTTGCCACTGCTTTACCACTCTTTTAGTAAAGAAGGAAACATACTTTCTTATTTTGAAATAATACACAAGAAGTATTATTTGTGTATTTGAGCATCCTGTATTTGTGTATTTGAGTATTTTGTGAGCATCCTGATCACCAGTGTTTTGAACTGTGCATCTGACAGGTTGGCTATCTCTTGGTCACTTAGAATTATTGGCTCTGGTGCTTTGAGCTGTTCTTGAGCCATAATGTTTTGGTCTGTTTGCACCTGTTACGTATGAGGGGCAGAGCCTTAAGTGTTCACCAGGGCAGGGCAACCCAGTTGATGGGTTGTGACGCTGTATGTGGGGGCAGGGTCAGAGAGAGGGGTAATGGCGCTTGTTCCGCTCACTCTCGGATTTTGGTCCCCTCTGCTGCTCCCTGCAAGCAAACCTGGCCCCCCTGGTGCCACCTCCCAGGTGTGTGGGCCTGTGCACCCTACAGGATCCTGTGGGTCTCTCCAACAAACTGAATTTGGGAGCTTCTCCCAGCTCCTCGGCCCGGAAAGTCTTTCCAATTGGTGCTTTCAGGCTTTAATTCCCATCGCTGGGGCCCTACCCTGAGCGGTCTGTCTCACTGCTTGCTCCTTTGCTTGGTTTATCTGCGAGAGAATGTGTGACCACAGTCTGCAGCCGCCTTGCGCCCTCACTGGGTCCGCCCATTGCCACCCCACGCCTGGAATCTGCCAACTGCCGCCTGCACTCCTGGGAGGGCAGATCTTTCCTGCCCAACCTGCTCCCTCGCTGACTCCGCCCCTCCTACTGGTCTGGCTGGATGGTTCGTTGTTGTCGGACTTTTGTACAGTTCAATTTTCTGTTTTGGCTGTGTTTTTATTACTAAAACTTTGTTGTCTTTAAACTCGGTTGTGCGAGGAGGTACAGTGTTTCCACCTACGCCTCCATCTTGGCCGGAAGTCCTGAGAATTCTTTCATTGCTTCTCATCATATTTGGAATAAAATTTAGTAGTGGACCTGTACCTTTTCCCCTCTCCAACCTCACCTTTCGCCACTCTCTTTCCAGAAAAACTTGCTTCGTTTCTACTTCTCAATTCTGCCAAGCCCTTTCCATCTCAGGACTTTTGCCTGAATTACTGCTCTTCCACTCTGACTAAGACTTAGTCATCTTTCAGATCTCAGCATTCCAGTCACTTCAGAGAGGCCTCCTCCAACCATCCAATCTCAGTGAATTTTTTCATTGTGTTCTCTCTTGGAGCTCTGTAGTTTTTTCTCATAGAACTTGTCTCAGATTGTAACCGTATATTTACATGTATAACTGTGTCCCTCCTCTCTAAGCCAGTAGCCTCCATGAGTATTGACAGTGTCTGTTTAATTTATCACTGCATCTGCAGAATTCGGCACAGTACTTGGCACATGGTAGGCACGTGAGAAATATTTGTTAAAGGAGTGAATAAATATTAGAATCATTCTCTTATGCATCTCACCTTCTAAGAAGTCTATAGTCATCTTGAGGGCTGGGATTAAATGTGCATTGAGTTGCACTGAATTGAATGAATTGAGAGGCAAGTTAGGACTAAATTCCAAAGGGGAAAAAAATTAAGTCAGAATACCTAAGAGAAAATATCTTATAAAATGAATCCTTTATTATTTTAACAAAAAGTATACTTTTGAAAGGAAACGGAATATGCATTATGTTGTAAATTAAAAATACGTAATAGAGGCTCAGTCATACAAAGTAACTAATGTGCTACATAATAAAACTTGAAATAGTTCCTATAATTTTATATCCTGAAAGGAAAGAATCCAACAAAAAACAAACAGAAAAAACGATGATGTGAACCAGTGTAAAGTTGATAAATTTACTTACTAATTGGTTCTCTATATTTTCTATTATCTTGTCTCATCAGTGACCTTGAGCCATGGCACAGCTCATCTTTAAGAATTCTACCACCGTGTCTTCTGTGCAAAAAAAAAAACACTAAC